GCATCCTGGCCTGTATCAAATATAATGTGGCCAGCAGGAACAGGGAGGTGTTCGTACCCTTGTACTGGGCACTGGTGAGGCCGCACCTCGAATACTGTGTGCAGTTTTGGGCCCCTCACTACAAGAAGGACACTGAGGTGCTGGAGCGTGTCCAGAGAAGGGCAACGAAGCTGGTGAAGGGTCTGGAGAACAGGTCTTATGGGGAGCGGCTGAGGGAACTGGGGTTGTTTAGTCTGGAGAAGAGGAGGCGGAGGGGAGACTTTACCACTATCTCCGACTACCTGAGAGGGGGTTGTAGTGAGGTGGGTGTTGGTCTCCTCCCTAATAACAAGCAATAGAACAAGGGGAAATGGCCCTAACCTGCACCAGGGGAGGTTCGGGTTGGATATTAGGAAGAATTTCTTTACTGAAAGGGTTGTCAGGCATTGGGACAGCCTGCCCAGGGAGGTGGTGGAGTCACAATCCCTGGAGGTGTTTAAGAGATGGGTATATGTTGTACTTAGGGACATGGTTTAGAGGTGTTAGTAGAGCTGGGACAAAGGTTGGGCTCGATGATCTTGAAGGTCTCTTCCAACCGAAACTGTTCTATGATACTGTCATCGCATTGGGTTGCTGGAAAAGCTTGATTTTGTGTTAGATGTTGGCTGCAGAAACAGTCATGCTGTACCTGTGCTGTACATGCTGTACCTGTACCGTACTGCTTAGCAGTATGTTTGCTTAGGGCAGGACCACTTGCATCTTCCTAAGGAAGCAGTTGCTCAAGCGAGTCTTGAAAAACACGGGTTTTGGGGCCAAACTGCAAGGGTTTCACTTTATAAGTCGTTCTTACCCTCATTTTGTAGGCTACCAGGTGACAGGTGTCTTTATGAAGAACTGGGACCCTCTGGATGAACAAGGAGCTTGCTCCATTGACAGGGACTGTGAAGATGCTTACCGGGTTTGTCAGAAGCTCGATATACCTTTTCACCAGGTTTCCTACGTGAAGGAATACTGGAATGAAGTATTCAGGTAGAAACGTGTTTAAAACAGGTGATCTGTCAGTGTCTTAGTGTAGTACCATGTGACTGTGAAAAGTAGGGATGGACAGATAACGGGCAACAGCAATTTATTGCGGTTTTGTCATGCTAAGAGAAAGTACTGAAGCCTGATAAATATGAGAGGAATTTTTTTTTTCTCTCATTCATGTTGAGGATGTTGATTTTCATATGTTTATTATTTTTTAAATTAATAGATGTCTCCCTAGTTATTACGAGTGTGTAGCAGTTGCTTTGTTGCAGCTCATTTCTTCTGCTTCCCACAGGCTGGCCCAACCTTAGAGCAACTTGAGAAAAAAATGGGGTGCTGTTACTGTCTCTGTGTGTAACTTACACAATGAGTTTTGCCTTAATATATACTGAATCCAGTTTAGCACAAAGTAGTCATGAGCTGGCCTTGCTTCTTTAAGCTTGTAACAAATTTGAAACTGTTCTCTAAAGAGGGTGTTAGGATTTCCTGTGAATTTGTTCCACTTTAAGGGAAGAAAGTTCTACGTAGGAAAAGCTGGAAGTTTTTCTTGGGAGGCAGAAGAAGGGGCGTATTGGTATAACAACATCATTTATCTTTTATGCACTCAGTGTGAGTACATAACAGTTGTTCCCTATCTTCATCATCCCCGTTTAAGTAGTGCTGTTGTCACCTTGTCTTGTAAGAAACTGAGGAATCACCTAGTCGTGGTACTTTACGTCGTGTTGAAATGACATCAAGTTGAGCACTAAACTTTTGTAGAGTGGATGAAGCAAACATCTCTGTTCTGGGATATTCCCTGCTGGTGTGAGAGAATGAATAAATGTTACCAAAACACTTGAGGGGTGGGATGTGTCTGTAAATGATAGCGAATCAGAGATCGCAGAAGATCAGCTTTTCTTTTGCTTCTCATCATTTATTAGTACAGTGTTCCCAAACGATCTGCTTCAAGTGTCTTGGTTTGTTTCAGAATCCTTTTTCTTTACTGTCATCACTGACCATGAATTTGCTTCTCCTCTGGATCTCTCTTTAGAGGGTTATTCATCAAAACCCACCTTTTATCAAGAGAACTATTCCAGATCTTTTGTCTCCCATGTTTGTGCACGGTCTGTTTCAGATCTTTACGTCAGAGAGAGGCTCAGTAGGCATCCTTCGTGGCCCTTTCTCCGCTGCCGTACTTTACTTGAAGTTCTGAACTGATGTGAGCCTGGCTTTATGCTGAGGCTTTTATAAACCTTCCAGTGTACGCTTGCAAAAGAGCATTGTGCTATCGTAAGAGTGCAGTGCTGAGCCAGCGAGAGGGAGGCAGCTCTGGGAAGACCCAGATGATTTAATTATTAGTATGAATTGTTGAGTTCAGAACTGTTAGAAAGGAGTTAGACAAAACAAAAGATATGTGCCTTTATTTTCTGTTCGTGAATGTAAGGTATAACATGGTGAGGAAGAAGTAATTAATTGTGTTTCGGATGGTGAAGAGTAAAACCAAATACCGGGGTTGCTGGTGTTCTTTTAGATCCAGTCTGTGCCCTCAGTTCTTCTGGACTTCGGTGACTACTGAGGACAAGCAAAATAATGCAGCGATCAGACCTTTTGATGTCTCAGTCCATCACTGTATGTTGGTTTAATTCTGTTAGTTAGTCAGTGTTCTCAAGCAAACAGTGCTAAGCACTTCAGTTACATGACAGTGTAAAGCCACAATATGACTTTGTGAAAATACTTGAATTTCTTGAAGGGAAAAAAAAAAAAGACAGGAAAAAAATCTCTATAACATTAAGCCCCATGACTGCTTATGGTGGCTTTATTGCAGGTTAAGTTATTGTCCATTCAGCTGAGACACAGTAACTGCTGGTGTGTACTCCGCTCCACTGTCACTTTGAAAAATTAAACAGCGTTGTTTAATTCTGAAAGTGTCAGAGGCGAGTGGGATGTGCACCGTGGGCAGCCAGGTCTCCCCTGAGGGAGTATTAATTTAATAAAACACGGTCACACGGCTGTGAATGATCATTTGACCATGTCCTCGGTGCACTTAGGAGAAAATCTTCCAAGCATTGTTTTTTACAGGTTAAAATCTAATGGGTATTTTATTTCTTGCATAAAATGCTTAGTATGACTGGGTGTCAAGTTCTCATGCTTAAACAGATCATTCAGTCTTGGATAGTATTATGTGGCGTTAATAGTGTTGATATCCATTTGAATCTTTATTTTACAGTGACCTCTTAAAAGAGTACGAATTGGGAAGGACTCCTAATCCTGATATTGTGTGTAACAAGCACATCAAGTTCAACTACTTTCTTCATTATGCTATGGATAACCTTGGTAAGGCCTTTTCAAATGTGTCAGTACAGAGTGCGTGCCGTGGAAATGCTTAAAGGATATGAATTCTTGAAAAGGTGGGGAAAAACCTGAGTTCATATGCATGCCTCATTCACGTATCTCTGTGGCAGTATGTCAATATTTGCGAAGTATTTGGTTTTAAGTTTGGTTTTACATATAGAGTCATAGAATGGTTCAGGTTGGAAAGGACCTTTAGGGAGTCATCTAGTCCAACCCCTGCTGTGGGCAGCATCGTCTTCCACCAAGTAAGGTTGCTCATATGTAGGAACAGATTTAATTCAAGGATTTACCTTGATCTGACCATTAAGTTTTACATTCTTAGGTGGTCCTTAAAGTACAAAAGCACAAGTGCTGGCATGCTGGTGAATAGTTTATGTTCTTTAAATATCAGGAGTATGATTATTGTCAGTAGAAGAATTCTCTATAGGTTTTCTTCCTTCATTGCTTTCTGCTTTTCTTGCTGGATGTTTATAATCCTGTTTTAAATGTGAATTTCAAGTATGTGCCTTTGTGCTTTTTGTGGTTTTTTTTTTTTTCCTTGATAGGAGCAGATGCAATTGCTACTGGGCATTATGCTAGGACCTCACTAGAGGATGAGGAGGTGTTTCAACAGAAACATATTAAAAGACCACAAAGGCTTTTCAGAAACCGTTTTGAAGTTAGAAATAGTAAGTGGTTTCTTCATTTCATATTTCATCCTAGATATGAAAGAGAAATTTAAACTATATTTGGTGTCACAGAATCAGGGAAGTTTGTTACACACAGAACAATTACCATTTTAATTACCATTAGTCTTTGTAGGTGGTTGATTGTGCAAAACTGAAAATCACCCTGACGAGTCAGGTATTACATTTTCTATTTTAAGAGTTCTAATCCAGGTGCAGAGGTAAGAATAAGCATTTCAGTAGTAATTAACATTCTTGAGGAGCTGTAATGTGGATTAAGGAGGCAGGGCTATCTTCTATACCCTGGAGAAGTGTTTCAAGAAATCTTTACCAAGTATCTCCGTGACTTACATAAAATTTTCTTTTTAAATGTTTCTTCTATTTTAGGGAATGTATTCTTTGACTATTCAGTATCTAGTATGGATAGGACTCATCACGGGGATATGCATAAGCGGAATTTTAGAATTATGGCTTTGAAACATTAAAATTAATAACATACTTTTATACAGTAATTGGAATGTGTATTATTTTACTGAAAAAAACCAGGTTCTCATTCAGTAATGCAACTATTCTGCCCTATTTCTCTGTTCTGTAGCAGCCTGGTTTTCCCAGGTAGGTGAAGGTTCTGCCTACTCTGCAGTTGAGAAGTGCGAGTGCAGATCGTGCAGGCATTTTAAGGCTGAGATTCTCAGGTCAGCGAAGGTGCTGGTAGCAGCAGCGCAGGTTCTGCTTTTCGCTTTAACCATCTTCCTGTGGCTGTGCCTAATCAGAGGTGGATCTCAGCACCGCGGTGGTTCTCTGGGTGTCAGTACCAAAGCCAGCTTGATGAGCGCTGGTTTGGGGGTGTCTCTGCACAGCACTAGCACAGTTTGGATGGCAGCGTAGAGATTTCCCAAACAGCTCTGCAGTGGCCGGGATGCGGTAAAGTGGCTCAGATGAAGCTCGGGTGTATAATGAGAAGCAGGCGATACCCAGAGGGAAAGGCACTTGTAAACTACCACTATGCAAAGCTGCCGTGGTGATGTTTTTGTGTTACAGCTTCCTTGCTTTCATTTGTTTGTTCTGGACTTAAAGGGGTTTATTTGTTTTAATTTTATATCTGGAAAGTTGAAATGGCCCCAATGGGACCAACAGTCTGTACTTGTGACAGACTGTGGTTCACAGTTGTAGTATTTTGTGGTGCTCTAAACAGGCTTCCTGCCCTGTTACAGAGGGTTTGTATTATTGGTTGTGACTGAGCTGTTGGCATGTAGCTGGTGTTTGAGTCAGGAGACAGATAACAGATGTACAAAGCAGAGCTATTAGCTCTTAAAGAGAGTGGACAGAACATGACTGAAAAATTATACCAGTTTTATTTCAGCTGGCAATCAGGGAGACTTCATCTGTTAAAGAAAAAAAAAAAAAGCATCAAACTCTCCTCTCTGAGCACTGGGAATAACTCTACTGATCATTCAAGTCATTGATATACAGCAGTGTGATTTCAGGGCAAAACTGAACATCTTTTTGATGGACAGTATACTCCAAGATACTTGAATCTCCATTCTCTCTTTCACATGAGATGTGAAAGTTCTTTTCATTTTTCATATTGTTGATATTCTTGCCAGTGACACATCCAGTGTTGCAGTAGATGAGGCAATGTAAGACTTTGTAAGAATCTGGGTTGCACAAAATCAAGACCTTTTTAGAACTTTTTAGTGGTGAGAAAATACCCAAACATTTTCAGTTAGAGTTTGAAAAATCTGAAAAATACTGTCTTTAACATGTATTTGGAAAAAATGAAACTGAAATGTTGATTGTCAAACAAAATGCTAAAGGAAGTTGACCTATTAAAGGGGGTTATGTTGTGATGCTTTGTGTGTTCTGCACTTTGCAGCTGTGAAACTCCTTCAAGGGGCTGACCTCTTTAAGGACCAGACCTTCTTTCTGAGTCAGATCTCGCAGGATGCTTTGAGGAAAACCATTTTCCCTTTAGGGGATTTAACAAAAACTTTTGTAAAGAAGATAGCAGCGGAACATGGCCTTCATCATGTGCTAAAGAAAAAAGAGGCATGGTAACACTTAAACTCTTTTGATTTGTATTTCTCTCTAAAATAGACTTTCCTGAACTTTTTGAACTTTGATCTATGACAACTCGTCTGTTTCTGAGCACCATAATAGAACAGGCTGGGAGGCAGGTTTACAGCTGTCTGCTTGCTTAAAGTAGTGTTACGAGCTTGTGTTTAGTTGTGTGTTTTAGCTTGCAGATAATTTGTCTACCATTGTATCTCAGAAGAACTAAGGTGAAGGTGTTAGGATGCTGTGAGCCTTAAGGAAAGCTTTCTCTGTCACAGCAGGTGAGAAGCCTTTGGCTTTTATTTTCCATAGCTTTTAAAGGCTTCTTCACTGTGATTGTTTTTCAATATGTCTTTATAGAAATTGGATCATACTGTTTTTCCACGGTTACTCTTTAAAAAAAAAAAAAAGTTCTGTTTCTCTGAGAACTAACACTTCATGAGTTGATCCTGACAGAATGTAGTGCTGGTGGCAATTGTATTGCTGATGCTGCCTTGATCGCTTTTAATGTTTATATTGTCCACCCTAAACGGGTGTTTGAAGAATGGAGGCAGTAACCGAAAGAAAAAGGAAAGCTTGTTTTTTTTGAAAGGTTTATTTGCAAGAGGTATAGCATTACTGTATAATTTGTGTTACTTTTGTACTTTAATCTGAAAGAGACTTCTGGTTTTAATACACAAACAATACAGTCACCAAGGTTAATATATTTATTTATTGAACATGTGTTCTATTTCCTATTATTTCTCCTCTTTTCTGTATTTACGGCTCTCACTGATACTGTATAGAATGTTTACTGATGTTGGAGCAGATGTTGTGGGGATTTTTTATTTTATGAGATGCCTAGTATAGTTTGGGATACATAGGGAAGGGGAAAATCCGTCTTGGACAAATTATTAATAAGCATTATTTAAAATGTTTTTCTCTGCTTTTATGGATTTGATACCACGTTTCTTTTTCAGAGTATGGGAGTCTGTTTCATTGGTGAAAGAAACTTTGAAAATTTCCTTCTTGAGGTGAGCAACATTAAATCTATGACAATCTATATTCTGTTCTGGTTTTCAGTAGTAATTTGTAACACTGTCTAAAGAAAAATCTCCCAACAGCTTGTGGCCCACACTTAAGTAGCAACGCCCCACCTCCCTTTGCAGTCCCAAGCCTGCCCAGAACCTAACGCCCACAGCCATAGGAAGTACCTTGACCCTCCAGCAGCCAACAGTCAGTCACTTTCTGCAGCAAAAGGAGCATGTGGACTTGCACTCCTGTGCCTGCCAGGCTCTCACAGGGGGTTGGAATGTGAGAGGGGCAGATGGCTGAATCCTGCTATCCCCCGGCATAGGTGAGGATGGGGGGAGTGAAGCCCGGAGTTACTGCTGATTGGGTCTGCCCTTCCTGCTTCTCGCTAAATCAGCATCAGGGAAGAGGCAGTAAGCTGCTTGGGCAGAATTTGCTTCTTGAAAAGTTATTTTCCAACTTCAAGGGAATGTAGTGACAGGACCTGAAGTATACCATGAGGTTTTTGTGGGCCATCTTGTGACTTAATTTCTTCCTATTTGGTAGTATTTAGAACCTCAACCAGGTAACTTTGTTTCCATTGAAGATAAGAAGGTGATGGGAACACACAAAGGTAATTGGCTAAACCCACCTTAATAACTGCTTTTAGATAAATGGAACAATGCTGCTTATATTTGGAGGGACAAATTTTGTGAAATTCCAAACTAGTCTACAGGTTTTTCCCAGCTGGATAACTAATAATCATGGAAAACTTGCTTTGTACAGTAGTAAAGCCTTGAACAACAACTGATTCTTGATTATTTGTTCTGTGTTGCAAGAAAGTAAATTATAATTATTAGAGTTACTCTGTTGATACTAAGTGGTTGTTAATTTAATACTGAGAGACCATTGTTCATTTAATTCTTTCAAAGTGACTGTGCTTCAGTTCCAGACTCTTTAGTACATAAACTTTGCAGAAAAAATACCCCGTGCACCCCAGTGGTGCACAGTAGGACATCACCAAACATGGGCAGCTTACCTTTTACTTTCCTTCTGTGTGTCCCTCCTTTGCTTTCCTCAGTTCTAGCTGCCAGAACTGGGTTCCTCTCCCAAGTGATTTATGGAAGTATGATATTCTACTAGTACATAAAAATAAGGGAAATTGGTAAGACTAAGTGGTAGCAAAACCAGAAATTGAAGCTGAGATAAAGAAATGTTTGTCTTTTATAAACCCTAAGAGTACCGCAATTGAAATGGATTAGTTTGAAATGTGTTTCAGGTACAGATGAAAACTTCTGAGTAGATGTTAGTTTAGTTTGTCACTGGCGCGCTTCTCTGAGACAGCTTGGTTCATTATTCTTTGTTTAGTGGGGAAGTTTTGGGGGAATGATTTTAACGTATTTTTCTGAAAGTAAAAGATGAAAAGTTGCTAGCAGCATTACATTTTTGTATTTCTTTAGGTTGGTTCCTCTACACCATAGGCCAGAGGGCTAGATTAGCAGGCCTGAAGGATGCTTGGTTCGTTGTAGACAAAGATGTCAGCACTGGAGATGTCTTTGTGGTGAGTTAATTAACACTGGTACTGCAAATGACTAATGCAAGCGTTTTGTGACTCCTGCTGCACGGAATGTGCTTCTAACCTGGGCAGAATTCTTGGCTTTCCTCTTGGGGTAAATTTGAAACATCTTGTCCAAACTGGCTTTTCCTGAGTAGAAAGTTGGTTTAGATTTTGGCGTAGAACCTTTCCAAACAAAGGGCAAACACTGAAAAGAATTGGCCAGTCTACTGAGCTCTCATTTTCTACTCTAAAACATGAGGGTTTTATTGTAGTTGTTATGACACAGTATATAAAATGTGTATTAACTTGGTTTGCTGTGTATTGCTACTTTCTTTTTTTTAGTAAAAGAAATAGCAGGCAGTAATACAGTTTTATCATTTTGAAAGCTGACACAGGATGTATATAATACTGCAAATAATTGGTGTATTAATGACTAATCATATGAGATTACTGGGAGTTCTGCAGCTTGCTAGCATTGTTAATGTTTCTTGCTGATCATGCAGTTGTTGCTCTTATTTGATACTGATGTGATTATAATGAGGTGTTCTGCTACTTGCTGATGTGCCTGGGAGGAAAAAATCAATCATACAAGAGTTGAGAGCAAACAGGCAGGACCACTAAGAGATTTTTTTGTGCCCTACAGTAAGGCTGTGTGCGTGCAGCGCCTTTGCTGGGAGGTGTTGAGTTGAGAAACTGGAGAAGAGGGAGGCAGCATCTTGTTGAGATCTGATAAGGAGGACAGTAGATATCTGAACTCTGCCTGAAGAAGGCAGAGATATGGTTGGAGGTAAAAGGATACAAGAAGTGACATGACTCTGAGATGTAGAAGACTGACAAATTTAATTCGGGCTTGCTTTAGCCTGTTTTTTTCATTGAAGGCTTCCACCTGGAAGCTGATTAAATGCTAATAAATGCTTGCTTTCTTCCTCGTTTTTTCTTTGTTGTGATGTGGTTTGATGCTTCTATATTTCATGCTTCATTTTATAAGTTATACGCTCTCTAGCAAAAACATCAGCATTAAATAAATGTATTTTAAGGCACCATCAACAGATCACCCTGCTCTGTACAGAGACCTATTGCGGACAAACCGAGTGCACTGGATAGCAGAGGAGCCTCCTGCAGAGCTCGTTAGAGATAAAATGATGGAATGTCATTTCAGGTTTCGGCACCAGATGTCACTGGGTAATCAGACCTTGTTTTGTTTTGTTCTGGTTTTTTGTTTTACGCAGTTTGTGAAACCGCGGTAGTGTGCTCAGCGTAGTTTTGCAGAATAGTTTAAATGTTTTGGCTTGTCTTTCTGTAGTGTCTTTATAAAAAATTCTGTGCAGTAGTATTTTTACTGACTTCTGTTTAACCTAATAGTGAAGGTTTCTCTTTTGTAATGTGACCATAAGGATTAACTGGCAGGTGTTTGGCCATTTTCTGCTCTAGTGCCTTGTGTGCTGACTCTAAACCAAGATGGAAGTGTGTGGGTGACGCTAGTGAAGCCAGCAAGAGCTATCACACCTGGGCAGGTAAGTTATTAGAGTGATTTTCTTTCCTTTTTTGTGTTTTGGCTTATCTAGCTAATAAAACAGAGTAGTCTTTTTATTAGCTGGAGCAAAATAGGTAAGTTATTTGCATATGAGAGCAGTTAGCTCTACTTTGACTATTCATCAGCTGTTTTGAAGGAGATTGTTTCTGGTTTTAAGTGGTCACTTGTTATCCATATAGTCTGAGAAACTGACTTACAAGTTATAGAAATACATGAAAACATCTCTGGTAATCAATTGTATATGCCAAAATGGAATCTGTTGTTGTCTTAAATAGATTTTAAAAGGCATTAGTTTGTTAACTGGCCACTTAATATGGTTTTAGTGTTCAAATTTGTGTAGTGAGTTTCATTGTCCCGGTACAGTACTGAGAAGTGGTACAGGGCAGTGATGCCTTTTAACACTGCTAATATAAAGATACTCCATCAAATCGTAAACCAGTGGTTCTCAAACATTTTCTGCATGAGTGAGCTGAGCTGAGAAGACTGCAGCCAGAGCTGATGGCGGGCAGGAGAAGCCCGGCTGCCAGGAGCTGCTAAGCCTGTAACCGGGCTCTTGGCTGCAAGGTAATGAGACAAGGCCAGGAGGTCTGTGCTCCTCCTCTCCTGCAAGAACCTGCTGAGCACATCAGGGAGCCCCAGTCGCCTCCTTCCAGGTGGTCTGCTCCAGTCGTCCTTGGTCCCTGTCCTGTTTTGAGAAGTGCCACAGTAACCTGGGCGCAGGCGTCTGGGGAGGGTCCGGTGAAGATGCGGATGATGTGGTGTGTGTCGTCCCCTTTGGGAAAGGAAGCTTTCCAGCACAACCCATGCCACCTCAGTAACTGAAGAGTTTTGAGATAATCGTGTAGAAGTTCACAAAGGAACTTCCACCAACAGGTTTATATTTACACTCATGTGAGCCAACAAATCCTTCACGGTTTTTTGGGGTTTTTTTCTTAACATTTAGTCAGAACAAATTTAAATAAATACACTCACTGTCCCGCAGTCTTGCACAGCCTGTACTTGCGCACCGTGCCGTTTGCAGCTGCTGAAAAGACTCCCTGTGTTTATGTCCTAGTTTGCTGTGTTCTACAAGGGTGATGAGTGCTTGGGCAGCGGGAAGATCCTGAGGATGGGCCCATCGGTGTATACCCTGCAACAGGGCAAAAACCGAGAGGAAGGTCCGAAGAAGGAAGAGATCGACAAGATAGAACCAGCAACGTAACACGTGGGTTTGTTTGTTGAAGGACTTGGGAGAGTTTGCTGCCTGAGAATAATAAAACCAATAATAAACATAGTTTATGTTGATCCGTATGTTCTGAAGGTCAGTTGACCATCCCAGCTCTTGACTGTTAACACTGAACAGGTTTAAAACTAAGCCAGTTTGGTACAATTTTTCTGAACCAGATGGTGATACTTCCGTTAATATGTATCAAGGCATGTCTTAAAGTTTTTCTGTAATAGTAGTTACAGGAATTTTAATATAAAAGTCATGTCTGAAATCATAAATCTATCCTTTCTGTGTACTTTTTTTTTTTCTTACTTGAAGATACCTGCCCTTGGTCAAGTTGTTTTACACTGAGCATATTTGTGCTTTGAACTCTAGAAAAGAAATTAATTATATTTAAGTTCACCATTTTGAGTGAACTCCAAACAACAAATATTTATTTTTCATTTTATATAGTTTTATAAGAAATGCTTTGGATTCTTAAGCTGTATTAAGTCCTGGTTTCAGATGTTTATGTAATTCAGAATTACAAACCTTGGGGCATAAAACAGTCTTGATTGTTAAATTTTTTCACACAAGTGACTAATTTCTTGTTAACTGCTGAGGGCAGTGGCTGTTTGGTTTGTTTCCTGGAGAAGAGAATACGTTGTTGTGCTTTAGAAAAAGGCAAATTCATACCCGTCTCCTTATTATGCAGCTAACTTAATATAGACCCGATAATAGTAGGATCTTTCCGTGTGTCAAGATGGAGCGGTATTAGGAAGAGCTGAATACCCCTGTCCAAATTATCTGCATTTATAAGGACTGGGTGAATACTGAGGACACTCTAAGCTTATAATAAAAATTTATTACAGCAAGTCAACAAAAATAAATTGCTGTCTTTCAACATGGTAGTAGAAGGTAACTGTCCCTAAAGTACAGCTGTGCAGGAGCGGGTGTAGATGGGTGTAGTCTTTTGAGATTTGCATCCGATTTAGGTGGTAGGAAAGCTGTCCTATGAATAGATCTTTTCAGCAGATCTGAAGGCTTGGATTACATGTTGTCTTCTAAGAATTTCCTATATTTCTTCTGGTAAGAAAAGTAAAAGGTAGCCTCTTTTCTTCAAAGTGTGGAAGTAAAAGGGAGAGAAGACACTCTTCCGTGTCTACCTGCCAGTCTGGAAAAGTTAAACACACAGTTGAGGGAGCCGTATGGAAAAAAACCTAGGCTGTTAAAATCTTAGGTGTTTATTTGACATTACAGTAGATATGCTTGAGAGGGGTTGAAAAGCCATCCTTTTCCACTGGTGCCAAAATCAATTCAGTTTAAAAATCTGTCTTCAGAGTGTCTATCCCTGTGCAAGTTAATTGTAAAGTCTATTTGTGCTTCACATCAGACCCCGATTTGTGTTGGTCAGTCATGTTAAGGGTCCTGGTCATGACTTTTATGGGGTTTTCCTAATGTTTCGCTTATCTTTCCTGAAACTTTTGTCTTTGCAAAATGTGGAATTACTTACTAAGGAGTTAATGCTCCACGCTGTCTTCATCTGAGTTTTCCAGTAAATATCCTGATTAGGATCTTCACAAATGTTTTGTGTTACTGTGTTTTTATGACTACTTCATCTCACAACACTCTCGGGTGTGTTTACGGTACTGGTAGAGGTAGGTTCACCTGTAAGGACATGAAAGAGGGCATAGCCATCTCTGTGTCTAAAAATTCCCTTCCTTTGAAAATTTGCAGAGTTGCAGAGGTTGGCAAGGACCTGTGGAGACCATCTAGTCCAACTCCACTGCTGAAAGCAGGGGCAACTAGAGAAGCTTGCTCAGGGCTGTGTTGTCAGATTTTGAGAATCTCCAAGAATGGAAACCCCACAACCTGCATTGCTAAGATCCCCCTGAGCCTTCTTTTCTCAAGGCTGAACAGCCTCAGCTCTCTGAGCTTCTCTGTGCGACAGATGCCCCAATGCTCCCTCATCGGCTTCTCCATATTTCTGTCAGGAAGCTGTCAGCACTCAGAGACCTCCCGGACTGCGTGTGCCTTTCATGGCACCGTGCGTTCATGATCCCGATGAGATCAACCCCTGCAACTGCACGCAGACCTCTAGCTCCTCTGCTCCTCTCGTGTGTTCCCCTCGCTGCACGTGTGGTGTATGGGCACGTCAGAGGGACGTCTAGAGGCCCCTCCTGCCTGTTTTGTTTCCAAGGCCTCTCCTGCCTGGATTACCCTGCTGCCTTAGCTTGCCAACCCAGTCCGCTGCTGGGTCTCCCCAGGGCACCCTGCCTCCCCGTGCCTGGTGAGCAGCCAACCTCCCTAGACACTGGGTCAGGGCAGCAGCTGGAGCGTCTGTCCCCTGGGGCAGCGAGTGTCCCGCTGCCATCACTCTGCCTGTCCCTCCTTCCGTGCCGTGGCGGGTTTGGGCTCTCAAGGCTACAGGGTTTCAGGGAAGATCCAATTAATCTCTCTTTTCTCCCCTCTGATGTGGCCCAGGCTGCTGGCCTCCTGCCACAGCTCCTGGTGACACGGACCCTCCAGCAGCGCCCACCTCCTGCAGGCAAGGAGCCCAGCTCTGCCACGCCTGGGAGCTGCACCCTCCCCCAGGAGCTTCGTCCCAGTTGGAGTTGCTGTTAACGTTTCCTCATTCTTCAAATGGATGAGAGTTACTGGTTTTTAAAGTCCTAAAGTCGCTGTGTAGACCATTATGGGTGCCACTACCTGGAAATGAAAGTCAGGTCTTTAGAGCTGGTAAAGGATTGCAGAGCCAGTGGACCCCAGCTGGTAATTTTGTTTAGCTTAAGGCTGTGTTTGACACTGGTAGTTTCCAACCGTTAGTGTTTCATGTTTGTATAATGAGTCCTTACCTCCTTTTTGCTTTCATGTTTCTACCAGCCTGTGTTTCCTTTCCTATGTGGCTCCAAGGATTTAAATGTGTACAATCTTTTGGCTCTAAAACTCTGAAATTTAGCTATTGTATAGTCACCTGTGATCCCTGGACTTATTAAAGTGTCCACAAGGTAAGTTCTCAGAGCTGCCTAAAAATGTCTGCTTCTGGGCCTGCCCGAACCCACTGAAACTGTATCAGCCTGGGGACACTGAGGTACCGAGCTCTGCCTGGAGCTCAGGGTGAAGGAAACAAGATCCATACAGCCGGTTCACATCGTCCTGGTTTTAAACTCATTTGCTCTTAGACAGTCTTTTGAACCTGCTCTGAAAAAGTTTTCTAACCAAAACCCTACTTGATAATTTTTTTTTTTTGCAAATACTTTCAGAACAACAACAAAAAAAATCCCACAATAGTTTTGATAAATTTGCTATTTTTTTTGTAATAAAATGTTCATCCTGCCCTACAGGCTTAGTAGTTACTTGTGGTTTTCTGGGTGTGAGCATTGCTTCAATGATGGGTGGAGCTGCTGAGTGGTTTGATCTCTGCTGCCTGGGTAAAGCATTGCTGGCTACGAGCACAGTGAGAAAGCACCCAACTCCGGGAGAGGGCTCATTCAAGCAGGGGGGATGTGTTTCTCCACGGCCTGAATGCGTTTCCTGAACCTTTGAAGAGGAGTTTTTCCACCCTTCCTGAGCTTTTTTCTTTTTATCTCTATCAGGTGGGCTGATTTTTTTCTAAATCCCATTCTGAGGACAAATTCTCCCAGTATGTTATGCCTGGGAAGACTTGGCTGCTGGGTCACTGGTACAATGCTGGGCGCATCCCAAGCTTGGGGGACTCAGGGTGCTTGCTTGGCACACGCAGTGCAGAAGTTGTAAGTGCTTTTAACATCGTTATGGTGGATTTAGGAGTTCTGGCAACAAGATCCCAGGTTTGCTGGGAGCCACTGAGCCAGTGCCTCACAGAAGGAAATTTAGCCAATGCTGCTTGTAGCATAGCTGGGGTGGGGCACAACAAGCGTCTCCTACAGCTCCTGTAGGACAGAGGTGTTTTAACAGATGCTCTGCTTCCCTGTTTTCTCTAAATGTCCTTAAATGTGGATACAGCAGCAATCCATGATAGCTAATGCAGAAAATTTGTAAGCTAACATGCTGCTCTTTGGTGGAAACCTCTCTAGCAACCGTCTCAATTCACGTTTGAGGCTCAGGGACTTTGATTTCATCATCAGAACTGAACCTCATGGTTCTACTGAAGAAATCTCACCTGAGGAAGAAGTGAGTATGGACAGTGTTTGGTTAGTAGATGCTCATTGTCTGAGAAGGATGGAGACTTCTTCTTGGCTTCAGTGCAGCTCAGCCTCTTGCCGTGATGATGAGCAAAGACCTTTGACATGATAAAGCAATTGCTGCTGTTGCGCCTAGTGAATCCCACTGTACTGATGGGGGCTAGGCATTGGTAGGCATTTGTAAAATTCAAATTGCAAATAGCTTCTTGTACGGGATGTTTTACAACAAGTTGCACACGTCTGGCAACATGAAGCTTGCAGGTTTAGGACAGCGTTTCCAAATAGCTTGTGCTGGTCAGAGGGGGTGGTACGTTTCTTTTGCCGTCCCATGTGTTTCTCCTGGGTAAGGGTCTTAACTACTGAGCTCCTGAGCAAGTTCCTTGCTCCTCTTATCCATAGGGTCTCTGGAAAGGTGAAGTTTATTGTCCTACATATGGACACAGCTTCACAGGGGAGTCTGGCAGAGCAGCCCATAGAGGCACCTTTCTACATTTCTGGCTGTTAATGCAAGTTGAGCAGCACCATCACCATCTCTGATTGCATTTGTAGAGAGGACGGTGGTTTCAGTGACACCAGTCCCACCTGGGCGGTGTGTGGTGGTGTTGAGAAGCACTGCCTGAATCCCACTCTCCAGCCTGCCCTGAGGCCTGCAGCCCAGCCCGGACCATCACGAAACACTTGTGAAAGTGCCTAGCGGCACCGCTGTAACAGCTTGGACACGTGGAAGTAAAAGGGCGAGGTGAGAGCGGAGGTCGGTGCCTGGGGTTGGGCAGCTGCGCTCCCTGTGAGGGACAATCACTGACAGAGTCTCCCTCATGCAGCCTTTGCCAAGGCTGGAATTTGGCTAAGGTTTGGCTTGAACTGGGTAAGAGCAGTTTGACCAGCAAGCGAATTTTCTTTTCTTCTCTACTGCA